TATGTCGGGGGCGGGAGATTCATGTGATTGTTGTTGGTCGCGTTGCTCGCAAAAAATCGCCAAGCTTCAGACACGCCCAGCATAAACATAAAGATTTTTTGATGCATGTAGTGTAGACGGGCCGTAACAGTTAGCTACATAGCAGTAATTGAGCGTTCAGACACCGGCGCACACACTCAAACTGACTCGTGTGTCGGACTCTACCAATAGGCTTTCACAATTCTGTTTAGATATGCAAGTATAAACCATGATAGCTTATTTTATTAACACGCTCATTTGATATGAAAATCAATGGAGGCTGAGGTTACTACTTCTCTTTGTAGGAAAACCTACCGTCCATGATGCCCCTGAGCTGAGTTTTATTTGTCATACAAATGTTGAGCTTTGGCTTCTCTTCTATGCATTGCAAAATGCTACNGAAGATGATGATTAAATTAGGATTAAAAATCGAGAGCCGGGCTGCATTTCCTCCCGTTCGTTTTTTTCGAATAAAAAATTATCTTGTTAAATAACAACAATGTTGTTATTTAACAAGATAATTTTTTATTCGAAAAAAACGAACGGGAGGAAATGCAGCCCGGCTCTCGATTTTTAATCCTAATTTAATCATCATCTTCACCACGATCATTTATGTTTATGTTCGCCGAATTGACATGAAATCACTGACACATATGAATATACTGTATTCAACTTCATTAAAACGTTATTAACGTGCCTAAACTCAGTAATTCACCAAAAATATGTATATTTTAACACTAGAACCGCCAGAGGTCGCTGTATACCTAAAACCGCCAACGGGTAAAATGTACCCGCTATAGATTTTCAAGGTACAATGTTCTTTTATTTATCATACACAACAGTGAGTTTTGATCGCACAGGGATGAAACTTATATCTATAGAATATGTGGACTCTTAGCTTTTCATATGATATAGTTTGTGCAGATAGCATGAAGTATAAAATACCGCTGCCAGTGTTGATTTAAACGCTCGGTGTTAGACTTGCGTTTTGTTTAGGTACAAATCCACCATATTCATAGTCTATCAATCTATCTGTAATGTTCTGTGGAAATATAATTGTCTACATAAACAGACAATGCGGACTACTTCTCTCATTCAAAGTGTCCATCTTTATTCAACTGGCACGTAACCTGCACACAAGCATTACGTCTTCAACGTGAGCTCAGTCATCTAAAATCTTGTATTCTCCAATATGTTACACTGTCTCTCTCTCTCATTATATCTATAAGGAACCGCAGTAGACAAAAGGCATTGCTATAGCAACACGTCATGTTTTAGCTGCATTTTCTATGAGGTAAATATTACCCGCTGGCGGATATAGGTATAAATGGCAATTTTCTTGGAGATTTTTTTTTTTAAATGACTTCATATTGACAATTTTTAACAACAGAGGATGCTACATAACACACTTTCAGGAAAAGTCACGGACTGGGAGACTTTAATATTTTATTGAAAAAAAGTTACATGCAATCAAAAATAGAGCTGTAGGTAAAATTTACCTTTTGGCGGTTCTAGTGTTAAAAGAAGACCTTAACCTAATGTATTCTTTAAAGTTTAATTCGTTTTTCTGTTTTGCACATTCTCCTATTAATATCTTTGTACATCCGACACTAAACTGTTTTATTGTAGAGATCACTTACATTATCTTCTTGATTTTTTATATTCTATAATTGTCAAGTTTACTGGGCTTTTTGTGTGTATTCCCCACTTGAAAGGGATGACGCGTCTACCGGACTTTGGGAACAGGTTTTCATGCCAATGACACAGCTTCTTTTCAATACTTTTTATTTTGATTTAGAAGTTCACTTTATGCAGTCACTTTATGCGGGTGACAAACTTTTGAAAACAAAAGAGAACATTTTAGAATTTGTAAACATGTAAATAAAGCAGATTATTTTAACTTGACTTTTTTCTGGAAATGTTGACAAATTAATTATTGTTTTTAAACAAGAAACTATTATGTCCTTTTTAACAAAGGTATTCAATGAATACAATAAGACTTCACTATTAACGCTTCTACTAAAACAAATGAATTATTTATAAGACATTACTTATTTCTTAAACAAGAAAGCTTCTTTCTAAGCTAAATAAACAGCGCGTCTAAGTTCTGAATGTGCCACGCAATTTACGCACCACATTGAAACCACACATATAAACAATGCTGCGCAAAGCTCTAACAAGACACGTGCATATTATAAACAACAGAACATTCACGAGCGGCTCTGCGGATTTCTCACAGCATGATGGATGTGATCTTACCGGCTGCCTGTCCTGACTGGGTAGAAATGCCTCCCGTCTACTAGGATCGCACACAGCTACTATTTAAACCCTTCTTGAGGATGCAGCACTGGGCTCTGTAATTAGGGTGATTATACCCAGCTTGCCGGAGGAGGCAGGACTGCCTGCGATCATTACACCTGTTGTCTATCCTATTAATTGGTGGTTTGTCTTTAAATGAAACATATTTGTAGCGTTTATGATTTAAATTCTGTATACAGTTAAGATATTTTGTTATTCTATGTATCCATATCTATTAATATTCGACTACTTATTTTATATTTATTAAAGCCTTAGGCTCTGTTTTTGACTTTACACCAACTATGGCTGCTCCTCTATCTAATCTCATGTGTTACAGCGAATAGCTTTTTATAAAAAAAACGTATGAACTTATGTAGCTATATGTAAATATACTTAATTATTCAGGCAAGTTTTAAGACATATGCAAATAATACATTCTTGAAAGCATTTCCCTCTTTGAACACTCCAGATTCTCTCAATATGCAAATTGGTTTCATTGCAAACATTTGAAATGCTAAACACAAAATGTTTTCTACTTCGGTGAAAAGTTTAATTTCAGTGTTTGTGATGTTGATTCTTCCATGTTGCATATTTATCACGGTTGGTTTCCAACTGTTCATGATGTCCCACGACTACATCAAGAGAACATGTAAATCAAAGGGACAAAACAAAATGTTAAAAGGCTGTGCTGCCCTCTAGTGTCTTACTCACACACCTGCAGTGTGAGAGTTCTTCCTCCAACTGTAAAGGATCACTTCTGAAATGACCCAAAGCTTTCACCTTCAAAATATCACAGAGAGAGACAAACCCTGAAGAGACTTAACATTACAATAAAGAAGCACAACATGACTACAAAGAAATAAATAACTACAAAGAGACAAAAGGGGCTAAACTACTATAAAGTCATCGTCCTTAGGGGCCTTTTACATGACTCTGCCTCGCTTTGGTTTTAGAGGATTTAAAGTCTGAAACAATTCATATCTGCTGTGTACAGATCCAGGGCTCAATTCCTGACTTGAATAAACATGACACAGATCAAGTTGACTGTTTGTTTGTTTCTTTTAAAATTCAGATGAAGTGGAGCAAGTAGACAATCCCATGGGGCGAGTAAATCCAGCGAAGCTTTATACTTCCTGACTCCGTACATGACTGAGCTGACATACACATTTGCAGAAAGCACTTTGTTGTCATTACCTATAGAATACAAATAGGAAGACAAATCAGACTGTTATTGCGTGACAAGAGGAGCCAGGTTGTAAACAGATACTTTGATGCAGCCGGATGTTGCTTTGAACTCCTCTCCTTCCTGATGTGTGGAGATGATAGGAAACAAACAAATACAGAGACCCAATCCACCATGATGAAAGTGCTCCCTGAACACACACTCACAGGACAAAGAGAACAACTGCAAACATGCCATTGCAGACACATTAACAGTTTATATTGAAATGCCTGCCTGTCATTCTCAGCCTGTGAATGGCAGCCATTGTAATGACCTTTTATGAATATTGAATGTGCTGTAGACCAACATCGGATTGATGTTCGACAATATGCGAGACACCCGAAACTACCAACACAAGGACACTCTGATGGCTCAACAAAGGACTGTAACAGCCTTGCAGGTGATCTATAGTGCAGCAGATGAACTAGGAGAAAGGTTGAGGGGGTAATAATCATGATTCATTCTCACAATGACTGAGGGAAGCCTCTCAGGCCCGAGGCTGGAACCAAAATCACCCAAACAGCCATCAACCGTTAGCACATTACTGGGCGCTGTGATTTAGTTTTGCAATTCAATACAGTTGAGAGACTAGCAATAGAAATGGACTATTTGACATGCACTGGATCATACAATTCCCATAATCCAACTGTCTTTTGTTGTTGTTTTATATGACTAAGATTACCTGAATGATTATCTTTATTTTCTGCAGCGAGGGGAACAAACAAACAGAATGGGTTTGACTGTGATGCAGTCTGGAATCATGGGAGTTGTTGCGTGCAACATCGCTGCGATATTGCAGCAAGCTGAATTATACGCAGAAGTCTACTCCTCTCCAGGTGATCATCATCACGGTTTTACCATTGAAAACTATAAATAAACCAGTTTTACTCCAAAAAGCTGTGTTTTTTTTTCTAAGCTAGCTGGCACTTACTCCGCTTGTTTCTCTGAAAACTTAAAATCCAGACATTGAAAATTCTTCATCTGGCAAAAAAAAGTTTAAATAAAACTAGATCAAAAAGGTATGGTGAACAGAATGTGAGTAAAAACTGAGTAAAAAGTCAATTTTAGACGCTGACGCTAACACATGGGCAAAGCAGAGGAGATGGGGAAACTTCCTCTCAAGCTGAGAAAACATTCAACACCTTTTTTAAAGGATGAGTATTTCCCCACAGGGCGAGCACATGGTGGTTGAGTGCCATTAAAGATCTGTAATCAACAGAAAAAAAGAAGTGTTTTTTAATAACAAAAGTATTGCATTATTTTAGTCTAGAGAAGATGCTCAAGCTGTAATAAGCGCAATTTCTGTATATCATCCATTTGTGTTAATGCATCACAAATGGTTACCCACATTGAGAAGAGCTGGAGGGGTCAGATAAAAAAAAAAGTTATTACTGCCCAATTTTATCTTTAAAATTAAAAAAACATCAGGTTAACAAGAATCCCACAAAACCAAACGCTGGTATACCAAGCAGGTTGACTTTATTTGCATCTTCCATGATAATTAGTTGTCATCATCATTGCAGGAGCGCATCAGTTAACAGTGTTATTGCCTCCAGCTCCATTACCCCCACTGTCATCATCCACTCAAAGGAAATAATTACATTATCTGAAACAGGCCAGTGACAACAACTATACTCTGGTGTGATATTGACAATCTCATTATCAGTTACATATTAATTAGCTTAAATACTGAGGACATTTTTGCTCGACGGTGCTTGAACAGTGCACCCATTCCTGGCTTCACTTTGTAAGACAATAATGCATTGTACTTGACATTATTGTTCCATAGAGGCTGCATGTACATAACGACTACATTGTGGTTACACTTCATTTGTTTGACAGCTCACAGGTAATCCAGCAACATTAAATATTTAGCAGGAAAGTAAATGGGCATCCTGAAATGTCATGTGACGTGACTTGAGGACTTTTAACATGAATATCCTTTTTTTTTTTAAAGCTTTATCGTCCAATGGTGACTTGACAGTCAGGTGACGCAGCACATATTTAAGCAGAGTGTAATTTCATCAGCCACTAGTTCCCTTTCTCCAATTATGATTATTAAAATCCAAACTGACTCTAATCTGACCCTGATCATAAAATTAGCCTTGACCCAGACACTGAATATCAGTTAATTATACTGACACTAATGTATCACTTAGACATAATGTTATCAGCTGAATAAACAGGCATCATCACTACCATTGTAAAGCATAAGACAACTCATGACACATTGTAAAACTAAATAAAACAAAGTTTGAACACAAAATAAAACTACTTGTGCAATACAGTGTTTGCTCAATCTTGGCTGCTTTTTTTTGTTCCGAGGGAGGCTTGTAAATGCACACAAAATCACATTAATTGTCTGAGGTCACACCCTGAATTCTTTTAACTTTAAATAAATTACATTAACTGTCAATGAATCACAAGTGTTTGTTTCCTGACAGTTTGTAGTGTCCGCATTAGACTAAGCAAGTCCTTTCTAAAAATCAAAAATGCAGCTGGAGTTCATGTGATCTGGAGTCAAACCAATTCTAAACAGGTTTTTTTACAGTGTTCGACAAACTCTGTATGACTGGACTCGTCCCATGAGAGAAACAGTTACAGAATTGACAACAATACATTGGTCATAATTGCTAGAGCATTGTAAATGGTATTCGAGTGATAACAATAATGACAGCGGAATTGTTGTGCCAACGCAAATCAAAGAAACTTTAAGTGGGCATTGGAGACGGATGTGTACTTTAAAGTGACCTTTTCAAAAAAGAAAATCACAAATCAAACAAGACAGCCAGAGAATGAGCTTGGCGGTTGATAAGCAAATTGCCTTTTTATAACAGTGTTGTCATTTTTATGACTGAAGCTCCCATTGCTTGTGGTTATAATTTCAGAAAGCTGCTTAGCAACATCAACACGTCCAGCCACAAAGCAGGGATATGGGCGATATCGCTTTGCAACACATTCAGTGACAGTTAAAGGAAAATAAGATCAGTGAATGCACAATCACATACAGCTGCACTGTTCTCTGCAGGTTTAAAGGGACAGTTCACCCCAGAACATTTCAAAAGTTCCGACTCACCTCAAGCTCTGGATTAACATAAGTAACAGGGTCACAATTCTTGGAAGACACATTAGTGTTGTATTTTTCAGATTTATCCTTCTAGTCCCATTACGTTATAAATCTTTACAGGCGATATTTCTAACACTCTGCAACGCTAATCAAAGAAATCTAGTTTGAAAAACACCACTACAGGTGAGAGGAACATTTTTTGGGGAGTAAACTGTCCCCTTAACCTTTTAGCCTGCACCTCTGCTCAGTGATGTCATAGTAGTTGCTTTACTAACACATCTGTGTGTGTGTGTGTGTGTGTGTGTGTGTGTGTGTGTGTGCAGAGAGCAGGACATCAGCTGTTTTCTACCCTTAGATTCACTGTTGTTTACCCTCTGAATACAATACATCTCTGCATTGCAACACCTTATAAGGCTTTGCTGCCACCTAGTGGACAGAAACACAACGTATCAGACACATTCTGGGAGGATTTACTCATGAGCTTTTTTCAGTTTCTCTCCTGAGTAAAACCAGCCTTTTTTCACTTTGTGTAAATGTTGAATCATCTCCACCTGTACCATCTGCTCGTCTATGTTCATGTGTGTAAGCCTAGGCATTATCTGTTCTAATTGTGTGTTTTGCTTTGGTATGATGGATGTGTGTGAAAGACAGCTTGTGTTGACACAGGAATGCAGCATAAACTGAAATCCTGAGCGAAAAGTTGGCAACGTCGGACACAAAGGCAACAAAGCAGGACAGCTCCATGCTTTCAGTGTGTGTGTGTGTGTGTGTGTGTGTGTGTTAAGACTTTGCATGTGTGTGGCTGTTATGGGTTGATGTTACTCTAGTCTAAAATAAGCTGTTATAATGTCTGCTTTATGGCTGTGGCTAAACATGCAAGCGCACATGAGTGTGTGTGTAAGACATCATGGGCACAAAGCTCTTGGCACACCTGAAGCGACTGAGGACACACTTTTGACACACACTGGTAATAAAGCAGTATAAATATCCAGTCGCAACACATGAGTGAAACACACAAAAATAATTAAATATCAAAACTCCAAGCACCCAACGCATATTGGAGGCTCAGTAATCAAAGACTATGGGAAGTAAATTGTTTGTTTTACAAAAATTAAATACATTTTTTAAAAAACAGCTAAGAAATAAAACAATTCTGAAGCTTACAAAGGCATTTGGATTCAAGACATCACTTAATAACCTGAAATCATGTCTAATCAAGTATGCAGATGATATAAAAGCAGCACATTACAGACTGAATTGTATTTTTCTGTTTGTCAGTTTTAGTGGCAAAGTATTAGGATAGTTAGGATGTTAAATTGAAGCTCACTACATGTGATTTCCAATTTAAGTGGCTATAAGAACTGAAATACACACGCATAAACAGAGTGAATGAATGTGTGGAAGCAACTCTATCAAATTAACAGAAGTGTGGTTCAATGCTTTTTAGTGCTTCTTTTTGTTCAGGGACATTTATAGAGACGTTTTTATCAACAAGTCAAGAGACTGAGATAATAATATATAGCTGTAAAAATAATTGTCTTTTAATCTCACATTTTCTTCTTTTTAGCGGCTGCTTAAGTCATTTTCCAGTTGTCCAGTCACAAAGAAACATCCTGGTTGTTGTTTATTTGATGTCCAGTAATTATTCTTTCCATTTGTCTTCTTGTGCCCACTCCAAATTGATGTCCCCGAAAGTTACGGAAGATCCAGAGTCTGTGTGTGTGAATGTGTGTCAGAGTGTGTGTCCCGTACAGCAAACCAGGCCGTGCTCTACTTTACCTTTCCGGAAAGTTTCATTGAAAGAACGTTTCCTGCTGTCTCTGCTGAATCCAGGTTGGGTGTAAGGATCCATATTTATGAAGCGTCTGAAGCATTGCTCTTTTTCAGGAAACTCCTCATGTAGGATATTTTTCTCAAACTTTCATTCTTTAAGGTGTGCTTTTTGGAGAACGAGGGAGACCTTCCATCATCACAGAGTGGCTGCGGGAACCTCAGGGAATGGTAAGAAATGTCCAGCTAACAAGTTGAAATGCTTCTCGCTAATGCAGCAGGTTTGGTGTGCTTTGTAAAATCACTGCACTGATGGTGGTGTTGTCTGTGCCAATTGTCTCTCCCTGCCTGAAAACAGAGCTAAACCCTATGGATTCTTTATCTACACGAGTCTGAAATATCTACATTTCACTTTTTTGTTCACTGCTTTTTGCAACGGCAGAAAAGATTTGCTACATAGCCGTTAGCTACTGCACGATAGCTGCTATTAAGTTACATGCATCTCTATGCCGGCTAACTTTTAAACATTTTATAGTGAGAGCACTGTTACTTATTTGAAGGTGATTCTTCAAGAGGAGGAGGAAGCAGCATGGCACAATGTGGCCGTCTACGCCGAGAAGGATAACCATAAAGATAACTGTAAATATAAAACTACGATGAAAGTGGCAAAAGATATATTTTTGGATCACTTGAAGAACGATTTGATGGATGATTAAACACTAACAGCAAGTTAAAATCCATCCGTAAATGAAGTGTATTTGTCACATACAGGAGGGGGATTAGTAAAAGGGACTATTAGGACTGCATCCGTAATTCAATGTTCTTATTAAAGAATCTATGTCCCTCTCTTCACTTCCAAAGCGTTGACAGATACAAATCACTAGCTGTTTTTTAAACTTCTCTAATATTATTATTCGTGTCCTTTTCGCTCTCTATGCAACAATACCCCTTGTGGGGCTCCAACACGTTATTTTTGGGATGTGTGGATACTCAGTGTTTATAGTTGTATAGTCATGTTTCTCGGTGTGGACGGCCCTTTACTCTATCAAAGGGCTGGGCTTTAATGATTTCTTTGTTGGATTTATTACATTATTGTTATCAGCAATGTTAACGTCTGCACAAAGCGATTCAATCTCTGAATTATTCTTGTCTGTTTTTTATTTTAGGAGTATACCAGCTGAGCTCATGTTTGACTTCCCATGCGGTCCAAAATGATGGACATAAATGAGACTAAGAGGTGATTTATCATGCGTAAACACATACAGTATTGTGTTATATAGTACCTAGTTATTTTAGGAAGGTTATTGTAATTTGTTTTCTCATTTTACACCTCTCTTTGGCTACAACTGTTTAAAACTAGAGCGCAACTATACAGGCATAGCTGGTGGAAAACCCCACCCTGTGTTAGCAGCCTGTCAGTATCTTAACATTTTTGTTTATTCTGTCTCTTCGACAATATTCAGACATGGGGAGAGGTTTTAAAAATACTTTATATAAAGTGTGATATATCTGCTTAATAAAATCTGATGGTGGAGGAGGAATCCTCGCCGAGAGGAGGCGTGATTTGTGGAGAGAGCAAAGAGGAAATGTGATCTGAGGAGCAGGAGAGGTGCAGCACTTTACAGAAGAAGTGATGGCAGAGAAGTAGAGGTGGGAGAAGGAGGTAGTGCATCAGCTAGGGTACAAAACCCTTTCACTTTAATTTAAACACAATGTGCTAATTTCAAGAAGAGATGTTGCCCCTAATGATTTGTATTTCAAAAAAGCAATAGATGTGTTGCTATGCACTATCTGTTGGCATGTTTGGAGGAAGGAGAAGAGAAGAGAAGATGGAGGGAGGACAGAAGATGGAAGGAGAGGAAGCCGCCTCTCCTCTTCGTAAGGAGTTTTTTCTATCAGCTCCATATCGGTAATGGATAGAGAGTGGTGCGGAAGCTAATGGTGAGGTGAGGCATGAAGAGGAGGGAGGAAATCAATACTTCTCCAATCTTATTATAATGTTACAGTTGCTCGACAGATGCTGTGTGACGTTGTAAAGTGAATCTGGGTCTTTTTCTGGGGGGGACTGTTTGAATACTATTTGATTTCCTGATCAGATTCCAGAGTTGCTGCTCCTTCTTTTGTTTCTCTCCTCCTCTTGAGATGATCTTTCAATTCATGATTTGATTAATCTGGTCTGACATGGTCCGTTTGTATTTGACTATTCCTCTCCGCCTATTGTTGTTAGAATGCTATACTCTGCCATTTTCTATTACCTTACCAAAAGCTCATCATTGTTTCTCTCCTACTTCCTCACATTGAATTAGTAAACCCTTTGTGTCCTCTGACATATTTAGAAGTTCTTTCTGTATTTCATCTTCTGATGAGTCTACCTCAAAGGCTCTGCTGTCTTTAGACCCGTTCCTCCTCTCACTCCTGTTCTTGCATAGATACATCTGGAAGTACATTCCCATGTTTTCAGTCTTTCTGTTATTCCTCTCGTTCTCAATATCTTAGTGTAAAGTCTACAGTTTTCAAGTATTTGGCTTCACTCATATTCTGATGCTGTGTTCACACCATATACGTAGATGAATTTAACATTGTGTAAGTCACGTGAATTACTCACAACATTAATATAAGAAAAGTTAATCCTTTGTTAGGTCTGTACGCAAAAGGACAAGCAAACAACTTTTAAAATGCTTTTTAGCTTGAATGGAGTTTGGATTGATGAGGGCAATGCTAGCACTTTAGCTGCTCCATCCTCACTAAGGCGTACATATGTCTGACACATGGATTTTGACATACTGTTAAAAGTTAAAATGGTATTACCTCACCATCGTTTAAGATGTTTATTAGAATCTTAACACTAACAGGCTTTTCACCTGAGAACATTAGGCGTGAACACAGCATCAGACTTTATATTATTTTGCGGTCAGCTATCATCTCATCTGAACTAGTGCGTTTCCGCTCTTTTACTGTATGCACTGCTCCCTGTAACAGTCATGTTCTACCGTACATCTTCCCACCTCCCCTTGTTTCATTGGTTATTCTGTTTCACACAGCTGCTCTTACCTCTGTAATGCTTTGTTCTTCCTCAATCATTTCTTCTTCCTGTAGTTCTTTCAACCTCATTCTGTTCTCACTCATTCCCATCTTATTGCTTCACTCTCTGATCCACTCTTTGTGTTCAGCGCGTTCCTTCATCTCCCTCGGCCTCTGCCCAGACTTTCTTGCTGTTAATGTGAAATCTATTGTTTGTTTTTGAATCGTCACATGTCGTCTCCACCGTGGCAGCTCTCTTCTCCATGTATGATGAGGACGGGAAAGAAGAACGCGTCCTGATAGGATGGAGGACGCTCCCTCCCTCCCCCTTCGCTCTCCCTCCCCTCGCCTGTTCCTGCACTGTCTGGCTCTGCGTCTTCGTCTCTCTCTCCTCTTCCCTGATCCCGTCTCATCACCACCACTGCTGCTGCTGCTGCTGCTGCTGCTTCCTCCTCCTGCTGCTGCTGCTGCTGCTGCTGCTCTTCCTCCTCATCCCCTTCTCCTTCCAGCACTCCTCTGGTCTCCTCGTTGTCCTGCCTTGAACCCAAACCAAGGAATCCTCCTCCTCCCCCACTGCTTCCTCCTCCTCCACTCCCTGCTCCATCCTCTCTGCTCCCTCCCAGCCCTCCTCCCATGCTTCTTGAATGAAACAGGCTGTTCGGGCGGCCTGCTGCCAGTCTCCCCAGAGAGAATCCGCTCCGACTGAGCACCAACCGTCCCCCGATACCTCCTCCTCCTCCTCCACCCCCCTGCCCCGCTGCCCTGATGCCTGCCACGGTAGTGTTCAGGAGCGCTGTGTTTCCCATGGGGGCCCGCAGCCTGGAGGGCAGGCTGGAGCTGGACGTGGTCCTCCGGCAGCGAGGGCAGCTCTGGAGGAGGTAGGCCGAGTTGAAGACAACGGGCAGAGCGAGAGGAGGCGGGTTGGGCCCCGTGCTCGGGGTGGAGCTTGTGGCCCCAGAGATGGGCGTAGAGGCGGTGGGGTTTGTCCCCCCGCTCATTTCCAAGTCCATCAGCAGGGCTTCAGAGTAGCTCGGCACCATCTGTTGGTTACAGCGGATGTGCCACTCCAGCTCCGTCATATCCACCGTGTTGACCCGAGAGATGGCTCTGTAACTCGTCCCGTTGATTCCAGGATGGAGTCCATTCTCAGTCCCTCCTTCAACCCCATCCCCTCTTCCTCCCCCACCTGGCCCTCCTACACCCCCACCTCCTCCGCCACCATCCTCGTCCTCACCAAACAGCTTCTCCACGTGGTAGTGGACGTACGCCGTGCGATATTCTGACACCACGCGCAGCGGCCAGGACATCAGGAAAGCAGAGGCCAGCCAGAAGACTTTGTGCCGGGAGAACCAGGGCTGCCGGGTCGGGTCAGGGAACGCCAGGATGTGCTCACGGAAATCCACGTTCTTCAGGTGCATCCCCTCCCTGGCCTCCATGTAGTCATCGAGTCCCTCGTTCTCCCCGAAGAAGCGAGCTCGCTTTGAATAACAGAAAGAGGATGTGCTAGAATTAGAATTCATTAACAGAGCATTATCTCCAAAGCTCAGGAGGATATCTTTAACCTACTACTGTATTATTTTGTGGTAGTTTATGTTTAAAACTAAAAATATTTTCACATCCATTATGTTTCATTACCCAACAGTGTGAAGGCCAGACCTGGACTTCACAATACTTGGATCAACTTCCTAACTGCACCTACTACCTCATCAAGTGTTCATAGAAAATGTGATAAATTATTAAGCTGGCTAGCTACAGCTGAATCTGACAGCAACAGTTGTAATGACAGATTTAAGTCAATAGTTGCTGGCTAGAAATAAGAAGCCTGCTTTTCTCTATCTCTGTCCAAAATCAAGAGATGATTGTTTCAAAGAAAGACATTTGAGTGGTAAATCTGCCATTGTTGTCGCAGGTGTGCAGTGAGTGGAAATCCTAAGAATGAAGCTAAGGGGGCAAACAATTGAAAGATAACACTTTGTGCTCTGGAAACTAGGGTTGACCTTATTGTATCACATTTTATAGATAAGACATTTATTTAATTACATTGATAGAGCAGAAAATAAATATACTAAATATGTTAATTTTGTATATCTTGTCTTACCTGGGTGAGGTAGGCAGCTTCAGCACGTGCACTGGAGAAGCTAAATAGCACAAAGATTTGTTAAAAACGTTCTTAGCCCCCCAAAAATAAGGATTTGTGCACAATGAATAGGGGAAGGTACATAACAGCAGGGACAAGGGGATTTTAAGAACAAAACAAAACAACCCCCTACGTATGTCTGTTTCATAAAGGAAAATAATAATAAAAAACGATACAAAAAACCCATCTAATTCCAGAGATGGGTTCAGGTGTCTAACCTGAAACACTTGGTGAAGCGGAGGCGGACCGCAGGGTGCAGCTGCAGGTCCAGCAGCTCCTTTGACACGTCTTTGACTCCGTAGCGGCCGTAGTCAAACTCTGAGCTGGAGGCGTGAGTGTTCACCCGCTCATGGTACACCTGGGGGGGGGGCAAAGTATGATGTTTGTATTCCTGCACACAGGGATGCAATATTTCACTAGGAGAAATTAAGATTCGCATATCAGTTGTTTTAAAAGTTTAAAAGAGTATATTTACGTGAAGCTCCCCTCACCTGTGTGGTGGTGTAAGCGTCTCCGTTGCGGTACCTGGTCACCTGTCGGGTCCTCCTGACGTAGTGATAGCTGATGGCCTTCCACCAGATGCAGGGTGTGGCCTGCTGGAGCCTCTGCACACGCTCGTACACCTCCTGTGTCAGAGGATTAATTCAAGACACATTCAAATGTATGTTCCTACATTGACTTTATACAGTATGGTCAAATTTGAGTGTACATAAAAATGCCCTTCTGCTCCCTTATGAGAGAATAAATAAATAACACAATTAGGGCTTGACGATTACATGAAAGAGATAGTTCAAGTTATTATATAACAAACAAAAGACATCAGCATTTCCTCGAGACAGTGTTCTTTTTTTAGGACTGGATTCAAGTTATTTTGAGATATAAGTTTTATTTCAATTCAATTCCTTCTAAATAAATCTGTTGAAAACGAGGACAAACTATTTAAGATGCGACATTGCCTGAGCAGTTCCTGCAAGCAGAACAATTAGGTTAGTCTTATTTGAATAGATTTGAGTTAAATCTGGTGCAAGTCAGGCTCTGCCAGGTTTTGTTTATGTTTTGTTTTTTTAAATCCCTACGCAGATCAATTAATCATAAGATCTGTGCCCCTGACAGTCTGGACCAATGTAAAAAAACATGCTGTTTTTGGCAGTAGCACATATCTAAGATGAACAGTAACCAATGTGCTCCTGATAAAAGACAGAGCAGACAAGGATAGATGAAAGAGAGACTGATGCCTCTGGGTCTGCTCAGTTCCATATAAATGGGCAAAGACTATTTTAGGAAAGAAATTGAAAGTGTTCTCTCCTCTTGAAATGTTAAAATTCCTGACTGAACTGCAGGAAATTAAGCCCTTATTTATCTTGATCAGCAACTGTCTCAGCAGACATTTAACACATCACCCTCAATTTATGTATACAAGCTCTTTATTTAAAGGCTTTTGCTGACTATCAGCTTCAATGAGTAAACAGATTCTGCTGCTTGGCTCAAGGTCAGAGAGCTATTCCTAGACTGCAGCAGTGAACTCCACACTCTGCTGGGTGCTGAACGACTGATTGAAATTTAATGGAAATGTCAATACAGCCACCGAGCAATTTTTTATTCAATCAAATCAAAAAAGATAGAATATTTTTTAAGGGAATTGATGTGTCTATACACCATTATAAAGTGTTGTAATCCTGAAGAAATGTCTAGAGATCCCTACAACAATGTTTTTTCCAATGGATAGGAGAATAATGATGTCACCCTCTAACATTGCAAATCATTTCAGAATTGCAATATCAGACAAATAATGACATTTAGATATGTTACCAAAATCTTCCAACATTTTTGTAAGCTATGAGGCCCTCTTGTTTAATTTAAAGGTCTCCTATTATGCTATTTTTAGGCATATATTATGGATCTCTATTATGTCTGATTTTTTTTGCTCAAAACGCCAAACAGATCATCCATTTGAGACATCCCTCATATCCCTCTATTTAAGCCCTGTTAGAGAACTTGAATAAGTATGGAGCTCAAATGCTTTCTCTCTTGCGGGTTTATCACAAGGTGAGTTTCTTTTTTTATTTCCTGCTTTTTTTAGACATGCTCTCTCCAGTACAGGTTAGCTCTGAGTGTTAGCGATGCTTGCTAATGTAAACAAAGACCATATTACGTCCAAAACACGTCGGGCATTGTTTCTGATAGTGCAGTGGGTCCACATTTTTTTACATCATATCGGACGCAAATCTGGATCAGCTCCATTGTACCCCGTTTTTAGAGATTTGGTTACGGAGGTAAAGAGAGAGGGTTTTGTTTTTTGACACCGGGGACACATATTTATGTATAAAAGACATCAAAAAGTGCATTTTGCATTATAGGCCCCCTTTAATGCTTTTACTGTTTTATCCCACAGACCTGGAATTCGGCATTAGCCAACATTGCCGTCTTGGAGAAGCAGTGCCAGCACTCCACCAGGTAAACCACGTAGAGCATCGCCAGGAAGGCCAGCGGGATGTAGACGTAGCCGCTGGAGCACGGGCTCTCCAGGTGCAGGATGTCGTTGTAGTAGGCGGCCGAGGTGGCGTCGTCATCAGAACCCAGAGGACCGGAGGAGGAGCCGAGGACGGGGACGCGACACAGAGCGCACCAGGCCAGCGTGGCGAAGCAGCCATACATGAGGAGAGTCAGGAGGAGGCACTTCCAGTGAGACTCCCGGCACAGGGAGGAACCAAAGGACTGCTGCACCGGACGCTGCTGGGGAGGGACAAAGAGAGGGGGGGGATAGGCGTTAAGATGCTATCAAACACACAATTAATTTAAACCATTGAGAACATGGGTCTCAGGTAAATTCTCCAATGCTCAAAGTTTGGAGGACATTGAAAATAATATTTCTTGCTGTACAAGTCTTTTATTTTTCTAAAGCACTTTTGGTATTCTTTTTTGTATGAAAGTAGGGCTGCACAATTAATCAAAATCTTATCGAACATCACAATATGGACTGGTGCAAAATGCAGTAGACCCGTCCCATTTGTTGGATAAGGCAAAAATATGAGAGAATATCTGAAGGTCTCTATACTGGTGCTGCCAGTCCCCGCCAAGTCGCCAACAAACAGTCATTTGCAGACTTCATAATAAATACTTATGTTGAATGTTTTTGTCAACCCTCTCATATTGTGAATCATATCAGAATAGCAATATCAGTCAAAAATAATTGCAATTAGGTATTTTCTTTCGATTGTCCCCCCCTGTATTAATCGTGCTATATAATTAAATAAAGCTGCCATTGTAAGCATGTTACCATGTGGATTTTAACACTGTGCTCATTTTGAGCCCTAACCAGTTTCCCATGCTTGTTGAATGACTGGAGCAGGTTATTAATATTACTTTAAATCTCCATCCAATTAGAGTTCGGGTTTAAGCTCCTAATGCCATGATTAATAATCGTTTACAGGCAATCCTTTTGTTCTATTTTTGCTCCTATCCCAAAGCCATGTGTCACACGGTACGCTGTTTTAACACTAAAGTTAGCCATGAACCAGTCTGAGGTGTGCCAGTCGAGATTTTTACGAATAATACAGTGTGCCTCACATTGTTAATATTTAAAACCGGCATGCCAGGTGGAAATTATTTCAAGAAATACATATGTTTGGCATGGAAACAACACATTATTGGTAAACCTGGAGGGAGTTTTTAAAACCCGTCATTTCCCATTTGTAAAACCGGTTGTGTTTCAGAGCAAGTGAGGTTCTGAACAAGCGAGTGCATTAAAGCACAAACCCTTACCCATCATAGGATAAGTGCGCCACACACACACTTTATGTCTCTCTCACACAGCCTCATTTCAACTGAAGACATCATATTACAGTGCACACACACACACACACACACACACAAATAATTTAGATGAGAACGATACTTCTAGACTCTTCTGAACTGACCGCACTCCAACATCAGCAGCGAAACACGAATGTGTGTGAGAGTGAGGGAGAGAGAGATGGAAAGCTTGTGTATTATGTATGTAGTGTATTACAGGAAAATGGAGAGAAACACAGCTTACACACACACATACTGTTTGGTGTGTGTGTGTTGCATGTGTCACGAATGACACCAGTGTCCTCTCCTCCTCTCAGCCAAGTCCTGTCAGCACACACCCCCCACTCCCCCTCCCTATCTTTATCTCCCACTCCTTCAGTGCAGTCACAAATTGCTTTCCACTAGCAAATTTGACAGGCTGCGACACACACACGCCTCTTTTTTTGATACTACTGTACGTCAAGGGCAAGTAGTGAAATGCTGCGTGAAGGACACCCCCCACTCCATCACCTCCCTGCAACTCCACCCAAAACCCCACACTGCGCACAACATCCCAAACATCTCTGCTTTCCTTTTGCCTTTCCTCTCCACATCCTCCTTCCCTTCCTTACGTAATCTTGTTTCTCCTTCCCCGAATCTTCCCTCCCACCTCCAAAGCATTTACTCTCATTTTCCCAACCTCAGTCTCTCCTCCCCTCCGTCCTCCTCACCCCCACATCTCCTCTGTTACATCCTCTCTCAGAGTCTGTCTCTAAGTGGATTGATTGGGCTAAAAGTGTAGAGAGAGATAGAGGGATAGAGAGGGAGGGTTTCAGCAGCATGAGAGAGAAACTTTTCATGAATGCATCTTGAAAGGAAGCAAAAAGGAGAGAGGGATGGTGAGACTAAAGAGGCAGTAACAGAATGCACCTTTCTCCAGGGAACCACACTGACAAAATTGCCTCTATCTCCGTCTTATTTTGTCTGGCTGGCTCCGAATCCATCCTGTCCTTTTCCTCTTACCTTGTGCAAATAAATGCTGCCTAAAATGTTATATTCTAGCTGCAGCTGACATTTTTATCAAGTGTCTGCAGGTGTCGTGTGCCAAGTGCGAGAAAAATCAGACAGGAGTCAAATTATTCCTGCATGCACTTCTGCCAATCACTTTTTGTCAATTCGAGCAGTTCTCCCTCCCACCGGGGAACGGCAGATTTGCTCAGATGAGTCTGGAGATGGTCATAAAATAGAGGGCGACGAGAGATATACCACACAAATTCCAGAGAAAACGGTTTACCTCATTTGGCTTACAAGGTAATCTCAGCTCTTCATGCAATGTGAACACGAAATGATGTGCAGTTTACAGTAATTATTGTTAATGTAGTAGCTATTAGAGCATCCAGTAACATCCATGCAACAATGCATCATATTCAATTGTCAGAAGCAGCAGACTTGAGTTGTTTTGTTCGAGAAGCAACATCTCAATCATGGAGCAGCTGGTCGGTGATAAGAAAAGCTCAGACCAACACCTTCTTTTCCCCAAGTTATTATTATTCTGAGGGACAGGCTAATCAAAACATCTTCTGCTTTCCCAAATTGAAAAGTGTAACAAGTCTATGTGAATCTCATAGAGAAGGTTTTTAAGAAAGGCCAGGGGTTGTACTTAAAACTGATTTGGCAACACACTGACTGAATGAATGTAACCGACAATATATTTCATTTCAGTTTCTTTGGTACCAGGTCCTTTTCCTCCATATTGCTTTTTACTGCGGGTAGTACCCAGTGATAGCACCACGTGGAAAATGTGAAAACATCTACAACGCAGCACTCACTGAAAAGGCAAACACCCACACAGAGTAGTATCTCGGCTGCCTTTTTACAATTTCTGGGTGAAGTAAATGAAAACTCTGCTGTCTATTGGATGAAGCTTTGCTATCTTTAAATGGCGGCTTATGCAGGCAATCTCGTGTCACACATGTAACAACTTTTCTCTGACAAATCACTGGTCTGCAGCCTTATTTCCCATGTTAATATTATTTGGAGGGATAAGCTAATCAAATGTGTATATCCTTTCACCATTTATGTGACCTCTTTGCTTTTCCAAATAGAAAATCTTTCTGCGTAAGTAAAGCCATGCAAACAACCCCGAGTTTTGCGGACGGCCTTTTTAAGATGTTTTATCAAGTGACAGCAAAATGGTGTTCTATTTGCGGGAGCTGTGATATTGAAACATTTAAAAATGCCATATTTTTCTGGCTTTCCCGTCGTGCAATTTCTCACTAACCAATCAGTGGTATGCTGTGATTTAACTTTTATCCAAGGCAACTTACATACACTTCGATGCCGTAGACATGCCTACTGTAAGTGTGCAATTTTGGGTTAAGTATCTTGCCAAAGACACAAAATGTTGACTGCAGGGGCTGGGGATCGAACCCCAAACCCTTAGTATATGCGATGTATCCCCCCTGAGCCACAGCCATGCACAGTGAAACACAGGGTAACTGAGCTCGTGACCTTGTGACCGATTGAGGTGCACTTTGGGCCAAATAAGTATTTGATATTACCCACAACACCTTCTGGTTTCAAACTCTGCAGCTTCTTGGTTTTCTCCTGATCCTCTTTCAGTTTTCTTCTGCCTCTAGTGAGCCTTGGCTCTTTTGTCAGGCTGCAACAGATCAAAGGCAAAGCTCCCACTCCCAGAAATCATCATGAAAAGAAATCTACACAGCCGGGTCTGGAGGGTGTTGACTCTCATTTTGTTATTCTTGAAGTTTGGGCCGCCTTTTTTGCAAGCTCTTTTGAAGAGCGTTGATACAGGGTGCTACTTACATTACTAATTCTTCATAAATGTTTCATTTATAACTTTAATTCAGTGTCTGTCTGCACTTCACCAGCATCATTATCTGGCAAGATGTTGCTGAGATGAAATGTTGATACTTTGACAGATTATCCCTGAATTCTATATATATTCCATGAGCATCCACAGTCACTAGAGACAGCCGTCTGAAGAAGAGTCCACGTACTGTAGCTGGCATGGATCTGTTACCAAACGTTTTTCTGGACAAGCATCACACACACAACTTTGTTTTCAAAATAGCATTTCAGAGCATTGCTCGGAGGCTGAAGCTCCTGTGCATGCTGTAGTTATTTCCTGTTTCTACTTAAGCTGCAATAGACAGAGCCTTTGCATTAATGGGATCTGCTCCGGCCGGTAAACGTCCATAAAATCAATCATTAGCCTCTAATCTGCTCTTTTAGCCTCTGCTAGAAAATGGTGCTAATCTGCCACATACTTAACTGGCTTTTATATATATATATATATATATATATATATATATATATATATGTGTGCTCAGGTCAAACTTCAGTCTCTTAATATTTCCTTTATGCTTCAATAGGGATACATTTAGTTTAGAGTACCACTATGTAGAGTTAATATTCCCTCCTATCTTTCCTACAAAAAAAACTATAAATAGATAATTGCATTGGAATTTCTAAATGTGTCCACTGTGCAGAGATGTTTTTTTATGTTTTGCTAAATGTGTCAAATTAAATGTATGCATTCCTCTCTCTCGCTCTGCTCAGACTGATTCAGCTGATAGGTGGGACTGGTGCAGCTATAATTAGCTACCATAGCATGTGGGTGGCAAATGAAGTGAGGAAGTGAGGACAGGAAGAAGAGCTGCTGGTGCCTGCAGTACACTGTGGAAAATGATGTGTCATTTTAACGTAATTGGAGGGGGTCAATTAGCCCGGATTCTACTAATAAATTGTTATCATTTAGATAATGATCAGTCATTATGCACTCACTTTGGTAATTGGTTTCCTCAATTACATTTGTAGGTAAGGTTTGGGTCACCTATGTATAAATGAAATACAACTGAAAGCAGCAGTCAGCCTAGATCTCAGTTACATGCCGATTCTGACGAGCGGAATTAAAAACCAAAACATGCACAGAAACCTCTCAAACAACTCCTGTAGATTATTCTTTTATTCTACTGTTCATATGTATGACCATAAAGTTCAAAGCAATCAATATTTTGCCAAAATATGCCATAAACTCTCACTTGAAGTTATGTGTTATACCTTATTAACATCTCATGACAAAAACAGATACAAGAGAAAGAAAAAAAATCAAGAGCATTGTAAGAGTTGATCAAATAAATGTAGGTGTAAATCTTATATCTGGTATAAATGGTGAAAATTAAGTTTGGATTTAATTAAATTTATTCAAAACCCTTGTAAAACATATTTACATGTATTGTAACATACAAGTGTTGCTATAAATATAAGAGCACTTAAACGCATGTATATACTTGGAATTAACTATGAAAAGAGACAATATGTGGCTTTGTGTATTACAGTCAGAAGGGATTTACAACAGGCAGAAACTTGTGTTGATTTTAGACCTTTGAATATCATTTGAGCAGATTCTCCCTGAGGAACCGGTGTTTTACATAACACGTCTGTAACGCTCGATGTCTCGCATCACCTACTCCTGTTTAGTAATTGAATTGTGATTTATGTAATGAAACATAAATTCTCTGTTAGTGAAGCTAATGGCCGTTCTACATTGTTCCCACTTCATGATGGCTGCTGTTATGTACTGTTATCATTCTTTATTGCAGCCTCCCTCCATGCTGGAGTTGATAGACATTCCTCATCAACAGTGTATGCATACTTTAGTTTTAGGATTAGTCAAGTCTACTAAAGATGATAATGAGGATTACTCAAATCAGAAATGGAATTATTCTTCTCTTTCCAATATTTACATTTCTGATTGATTTGAGGGACTGTATATGACTCCTATTGGCATGGATATTTTCTGGAAATGTTTGTCATACTGGATACGTTTAATGTTAACAGTAGGTGGTTGCAAATAGAGCCACAATTTATGATTATTTGTATTAATCTGCAGATTTTTTCTATATTCATCCATTTCTGTCCAGAAAATGTCCATTCCAGTTTCCCAACATCCAGGGTTATGTCATTAAATATCTTCTTTGTGAGTCCAAAACGCAAATATATTTCCTTCAATGTTGTATATAAACAAAAAAAGGAAAATGTTATTAATAGCATAGCATTTTCTGATGTATTTTGCATTAAAATAAATCTATTCCAACTATTCTAATTAGTGTTCTTATCGGTGTCAGAATGAGGGTTGGATACAATTATTGCCTCTTCCATCACCAGATGTTTTGTTATTACTTCTAATTTTGTTCTGCTTCTGGATTTGAAACTTTCATTAACTCTCCCTCACACACATTAGATCCGTGCATCCTCCTGTCTCTGCAACAGACCTGTCTGCTAATGGAAATATGTGCACAGACGTACATATGAATCAAACATGGGATTTGAATATGAATAAAAGAGGCTCCACCTCACGTGATAATGCCTGTGTGAGTGTGCATGCATACTCAAGTGGGCCTGGGAGTGAATACAGTTAAGTGAGACATGAGTGTGCAAATATTTGACAGTGGGAGAGTCAAAGAGAGGATGAAGCTCTATACTCCTCAGCAGACAGATCTAAAAACAGGAAGGAGACTGATAGGCAGAGATGAGAGAGAGTAATGGAGGCAGGGAGCAGATGACTGCATTCATTGCATTACATGGCACCGTCTGCACAGCAGGCATGGAGGAAAGACAGACGAGAGTGGTGGAATGAAGTGAAAAGCATTTACCAGGCTTTGAAATCTACATGCAAACGTCTTTAGAGCACCATAACCCTATTGCCAAATGTCTATGTACTACAGACGTAGTCGGACAATACAAATAGAAAAACTCCTCTTGCCACTTATAATCAGTTAAAGATAATGAGAGTTTAACGTATTTAAGCCACTTGATTTAAAGTTCATTAAAGCCAAAGCTCAAATCGACTATTCAATCGGCAGAGAATAAATGGCTGCCAGAATTAAACACTTGTGATTCTCTGTTTTCAAATTGTGTTCTTGCTTGGTCCTCCTCATCAGGTTTCAAGGTGGTGAGATCATAGCTAACCATATCTTTAGCTATCATTGATACTTTTCCTGGCATATGCCTTACGCATTATTTTATCATGCCACCTCCTGTTTTTCTCGGTTATCCATTATTGAGATGACGTGTTTGAATAAATGATGCTGGTTCCCAAAAATGGTAGTGGTAAAAGAGGAAGTGGTTTAGGAGGAGAGGATACTAAAGACTTGTGTGTGAGTTTTTGGTGGTGGGAAGGCAACGTGTCCTACTGTGTGTAAACATGAACATTTGCACAAGATGCCATCTCAAAGTTCAGGATAGAGCGTCAAAGATAAATTGATTTGTTGTCAAATCTTAAAGTAAATGCCAACCAAATTGGAAAAAGATGGATCTCGGCATTTTTTAAAGAAAATAAAAACTCAATTTTTCTAACTCCAGCACCTTAAATGTGAAATTTTCAGGTTTTCTTACACCAATTTGAAATAAAAATGAACATCTTTGAGTTGGTAACAAAACCAAAACATTTGAAGACATCACTTTGGGAAAAAATGAGACATTTGTCAAAACTTATACTCATGTCATAGACCAAACAACTGATTTAACTGAACAGATTAACCAACAATACAAAATTAAAAAGGTTGGTTTGAAAGTTTGTCATGCATTAATATATAAACACTCCTCAGTGTGTTTAGCCAATTATAATGAATATCATAGTAAATCTCTGTAAACAAAAACATATGCTTACTGCTCCGAGTATTCTCACCATTCACATTGAATCAGGGTTATTTTGGTCTGAAAGGTGTGTGCGTGGGTGATGTCACCCTCTAGTGTATTTCGTTGGTGTCAGCTGGAAAATGAACACTAGCCTACTATACAGAAAAACATTAAAGCATCGTTTCAGCAGGAGTAACGCATACCACTGAGCCGTGTCACATCAATGCTGGGGCTTTATTTCTACACAGGGACTTGGACTTCCCTCCCCTCTCTGTTTGAACCACAGCCTCATCTCAATTCAGTCTAAAGCCAAGGTCCTGTCCCGTGTCCTTGCTCTTGTGAAGCATCAAGGACTTCAGATAATAACTCGACTTCTTAGCGTTTTTTGTCAAACAGTATGTCATACATGATGCAGAAGTCACGGGTTGTATTTGAAACGACAGGGAAATATCTTATATGTATTAACCAGACTGTATGTATAACAGGCGCTTGCAGGGGAAATTATGCGCAACTTTACGCCAACTGGACTGTTTCCATGAATGAAGATTGTGAAGACAGAAAACAACATAGGAACTGCCCTTACCTGCTCTCGTCCTGACCCGTCCTCCAAAATGGGCTCTTCAGCGGTGGCCGTCTCCTCCTCCGTCTGCATTTTCCCTCTTGCCACTCCTTCCTTCCTTAGAACCGGGCACAGGCAGCTCCCTCCCCGGTAACGTCCGAAGGCAGGGACCTCCCCGGCGGAGCAGCGAGCTCGGTCACCCCATCCGCCGCAAGTCGGTATCCAATTTCACGATGGCGGGGCCTGCGGCAAATAAGCATCGTCTACTCCGGGTTTGGCAGCACCACCTGCTCTCTCACGGTCTCTCCTCCCGCTCAGTGTTTCTCCTCTGTCCGCTGCATCTTTCCTCTCCGGTCGAAACGTGACAAAGCGCCCAAAGTCAAAGCCGTCTGTCGCCCTCCCTGACAAACCGTTTCCGCTGCAACCGCTCGCTTCTGACTCTCGTGATGCTCAGCTACGAGCGTGCGTATGTGCACGTGTGCGCGCGTGACCGACAGCGCAGGGGAGCCAACCGGGGTCATGAGCTGCAGCTGCACTAATGAAGGAAGACGCTCGTGAGCACGAAGCTAATTACCATTGGTTCAGGTCTGCGCGAGGGGGAAATACAGTAAATATATAGAACAGGAGGGTGACGTCATTATTCAAACTTTGTTTTGCCAAGCTTGTACATCGCATTGGGTCTCCGTTGACGTCATATAATACCAACATCCCCACCCCCATATAATATACACCTGAGCACACGCGCGAGATACACACACGCGCACCCACTCAGGCACACATTAACCAACTATGTGGATTAAAATGGGTAATTTTAAAGATGTCGGGAACATACATTATGAAAACATGTTTCTCCCAATGTTATAGAAAAACACAGATCCCGTAATTCATTATGAGAAACCTGTCAAAAATAATGTGTGGATCTCAAATGAGTCAATCCCAACAAGTTTCTCATTATGTTGCACTACTAAGTTGTATGTTTGGGATAATAGTCATTATTATATATATTGAAACACAGGATTCTTTTATTCATCAAATTCACTTGGCTTAATTTGCATCTTATTTTGTTCCTTTAAAGGTGGGGTAGGTAATTCACTTCAGAAACCCTTTTTGTTATATTCCATGGAATGCTCTTAACATCCCGATAGCATTGAATACATTAAATGCTATGACAATAAATCCATAAAAAAAATGTCATCTGTGGAAGCCGTAGTACTGTAAAAAGCATGACCAATCATTTTAACCGGCCCGGCTAAAATAACAGGATGGCCTACCTGCCTGTCAGCCTTCCATCTGTGCACAAACTTATCTCGTGCCCTCATTGGTCATGTGTGCGTTCTTGTGTGTTGGAGGAGGGGCTCTGTAAGGAAGTCTGAAGGAAGAGGCAGATTTCTTCCTGTTGTGTAGTTTCAAATTCTAGCGCACTCGAGCTAGTTTCTCCATTCTTACCTACCCTACCTTTAATTGCAGGGATGGGCTTCCATAAACAACAAACATACTCACAACACCCTGATATAATTGCTACAATTATTTCAGTAACAGTTTTATTTGAAACATCATAAAGACCCATATAAATGCTTAATTTCTGTTGAAGAAAAGAGAACTGAGTGATATGGATGATGAGGAATCAGATGGGATGTTGATAAGTATTCTTCACAGAGGAGTGGTGCGATTGAGATGTCCTGAAATGTATAAACAAAAACTGGTTCAGATATTGTTACTGCTTTATAACCACATCTGACATTTATGTTTATTTTATTAGATACAGACCCTTGTTTGCTGAAGGACTGGTGAAGAGGTTCCCAGCTGGTCTGTGGAGCTGTGCGGCCCCCCGTCCTACAGGTAGGCTGGAAGACAGCTGACGGACCCCCGAGCTTTTCTTGTTGTGTGTACTGCTGTGGTCCTTGAGCCAAACATCATATAATCTCTCAGGAAGGATGGGTGAAATGATTTAAGGAACATCTTCTACCAAGACTTGATGAATCTCAAAGCAACTGCACGTTAACATTAATTAATTCCGCTTTCTCAAAGGAATTGTCCTTATGTCACCAGTGATGTCAACTTGATTTAAAAAAAGCACCTGCATATTAAGTAAAAGCAATGCTAAAAGGCGGAATTCTGGCTGAGCCGAGTCATATGTTTGCTATATTTGCTTGCGGAAACACTTGTTTCTAATGACTAAGGATAACAATCTAAGTGTTTCTTAATAAGTGAGCAACTTATTGAGAGGATATTGGCAGTGACAGGCAGGTAGAGGATGTCTGTCTCAGTGTGGATGATGATATCTTCAGAGAGGTTCTTCTTTGGCTCCTCCTCTCCTGCTTGGACTGCACACATGGCAAACAGCTGAACCTGCAGCTTAACATGCAGACCTGCAGCCACCTGGACACACACACACACACTTCTTACAATGTGGCCCCTTTAACCCTTTGGAGTCGACTGTCACGCCGGCGTGATCAGATCACATGACCTGTTCAAGCCGGTGCCGCATAAAAACAACAGTCCGGACAACATTGCCGGGTGTTTCTGTCGAAAGTACTGGCTTGAAAGTATATCCCAGTCTTTGTTTCATGCAAAAAGACCCAGTAAACACGGAGATACAATGATATAAAGTTAATACATTTCAAAAGTATGAAAAATGGAAGCACATATTTGAATATCTTCGCTGTATTTGATCATTTTACGAAATGGAAAATACTGGAAAACTGTAGATCCTGCTCAACAGGATGTATATGTGTATTTCTGTCGAAAGTACTGGCTTGAAACTATATGCCAGTCTTTGTTTCATGTAAAAAGACCCAATAAACACGGAGATACGATGATATAAAGTTAATACAAATATATTTCAAAAGTATGAATAATGGAAGCACATATTTGAATATATCTTCGCCGTATTTTATAATTTTACGAAACGGAAAATACTGGAAACTGTAGATTCTGCTCAACAGGATGTATTTACCAGGGAGGGGGTGAGGTGATCAGGTAAACGGAGTGATACGAAGCAAGACGAAAAGAGACGAAGAGGGACGGCGGGAACCGAAGAGAGACGAAGACAGGCGGCGGGAGACAAAGAGAGACGAAGAGAGACGGCGGGAAATGGAGAGAGACGAAGATATACGAAGACAGGCGGCGGGAGACAAAGAGAGACGAAGAGAGACGGCGGGAAATGGAGAGAGACGAAGATATACGAAGACAGGCGGCGGGAGACAAAGAGAGACAAAGAGAGACAAAGAGAGACGGCGGGAGACTGCGATTGAAGTAAAGTGACAGACAAACATTGAGAATTTAAATATAGTTAGATAGATTTAGAGTTTTGAAGATTCAACTATGATGAAGAGAACTCTGAACGTGAGTCAAGCTATGAGCTTGTTTTTTGACATGGAGGAGGCGGAGCCTGTGATGTTGCCCTCTGTGTCGGAGTTGACAGAAACTGCTTTGAAGCGTGGCACAGATAAAGACAGAAAAAACAGATTTGTGTACATAATGTGTATATATATATATTTGTATTATATTTATAATAACACTTTTGCCTTATCAGAATGAAATCCCATGTACATTATTTAAGCTTTTAAATGTTTTGTTGTGCCTACTGTGTCACTGTTGACAGAACTTGAGAAATGAGGAAAAAACGCCTGTTACTTGTTCATAACATTTGAATATAGGTTCATGCTACCTCAATCAAACTTTCACATTATCATAGTGACGTAATGAAGGTTATTAAGCGTTTTAGCTCCTATATTGTTAATATTGACCGCCATTTCCTTTATGAATTAAATCAGCCTCCTTCTCTGTGTCCTCGCGCTGTCCTCATATCCCTGGACCCCCAGACTCGGAGATATAGATTTGAATTAATCTTTTCATAAATATATTTTTCTACCAGTTTGTCATGGGACTTATTTATACCCTCTCAACGAACCAGAACCGGAAAGAACCGGAATCGAAAAGCATAACCGGAATCGTTCAAATCCAAACGATACCCATCCCTGTGTGTGATGCAGGAACATCTTACCGTAAAAAACGTGGGAACATGTAAAATACGATGCCGATCGATTTTTCTGGACAAGTGAAAAATGTATTCGGACAAGTAAATTGCCAAACTCACTTGTCTCTCTAAAAACTTTTTCTTACACTGGACTTATATGATTCTGTTTTCTTCAAGTTGTATTTTGTTGTAAGTGGCTTTGGATAAAAGTGCTAAATGAAATGTAATGAATACCAAGTCATGTGTTACTTGGTATTCATTACCTTGGGGTTCTATTGCTTATTCATCTATTTCTTTGTGAACCACTTTATATTACCTTTTGTGTTTGAAAAGCGCCAAATAAATAAAGTTTGATTTACCCTTTGACGTCTTTGCTCTCCTCCGCTGAAACCTTCCTCTCTGGACTCGTCTGTTTCTCTCCTTCGCTCTTCTCCGATTTCTCCGTCTTTACTGCGGCTTTTCTCGGAGCTATAGAACAAAAAGAAATACAAAAAAAGGGAAGGTGAGGGTGGAGCAGGGGTCGGAGCAGAGACATATTTAGCTCTCTCTCTCTCTCTCGCCCATTTACGGACACCTTTTTGTGCAAGCAAGGAGCTATGCAAATGTCTCCTCACCAAAGAAACTGCTGATGGGGGATTTTTTGGGCGGCTCCTTATCTTTTTGCTCTTTTGCTTCTTTCTGCTTTCTCTGTGTTTGACTTTCCGGGCTCTTTTCTGCCTCTTGCGTGTCCTTTTCAACCACCTTCTTCTTATTCTTCTTCTTCTTGGCAACTTTCTCATCATCCTTCTTCTCCTTTGCTTCAGTTTTCGTTTCCGCCGCCTCAGCTTTCCCTTCTTTCTCCTCCTCGGCCTTTTCTACTTCCTCTTTCTTCTCCACCTCCTCCTCCTCCTCATCTGGGCTCGTAGCCTTGGTCGCCGCCTTTTCAACTCGTACTTCCTTTGCTTCCTCCTCCATGGGTTCATCGGTGTTCCCTGGGTGAGACAGAAAGGCAGAGGAGTCATTGAAGAGAGAAATGCCAGCAGGGGTGACCCAGTTTATTTATTTTTTATTTGTGCGACCATGCTTTGAAGATGGTTTTCAACAAAGCTAGCCTCCTTCAGTAAATGCCGCAGGTTATGTTTCTAAGATTTGCTTTCCGCCTGAGAGTCGGTAAGCCAGAGACTATTGACAGAGCATAGAGCCGGGGTCATGATACCAGCAGGGTGAGGAGACATCAAACTTTATTTTCTCTTTCCAGGTCGAAATGCTTGCTGGACTTGTGAATCTAACTTTTAGTAAAAACTATTTGGGAGAAACAGAGGGTCCATTTCCCCCTCTGCTGTGCATCTGAAACACACATGCTGCTAACACAAAACGACATTTAAAAAAGGGGAAGCCACCACAAAACACATTCTGTTATTATGCCCCAGATAAGACGTCTTATTACATGGCTTAGTTGAATACTCGATTCTGATTGGTCAATTCAGAACACGTGACACGTTGTTAATACCGAACAGACAGACCGCTGTCAAGGACTTATTGACCGTTGTTAAGGACACTCGCAGCACATTATCCCTTACATGTAGACTAACAAATTGGACAAGGACAAAGTATGTTTGATAGATAATATTTCCAATTTTGCTTATAACTGATGTTGAAACGCTACTCTGAGTTGTTAAGGACAAACATCTGAAGCAAATGGCAGAGAGTGAATATGAAAATGTATTTTTGTGAGTTTTATAGTTGCTTAGAAATTCAACGTTGTTCCTTTACAACTCCATCTTTAAAAAAACAAAAAAAAGGTGATGTTTTTGGCACTTTAAGTTTCATCTTGTCGAGGAATTCTACTATAACCATACCACAGCAAACATTAGAATTGAATAACAGATGAGAACTGACTGTCTTTCACCGTTTAACCTTCTTTGGTCTCCGTTTATCTCTCACCACATGTCTTAGGCTGACACACAGGCTTGTTATGTGAAATCACTTGATAGATGACATCATTAAACATGATTATTTTTCCATATATTGAATCAGGAGAATCCAGAGCCAAAACTGATGTCTTAATATCGCTTATTTTGTCCGACCGAAAGGTCAAATTTTTGCTCATACAACAACTAAAAACCCTGCAAATCCTCACATTGTGGACGCTGGAACCAACGACTGTTTGCTGTTTGGTAATCCACTCAAACGATATTATCAAATGTGCTGCAGATACAGATTATGTTGATGTTGCCAGGACGGTCCAACTCAATTTCATCGCGGGCCACATCAGCATTATGGCCGGTTGTCGGTTTAAGACTATATCAAAATACATATATAAATATTTAATAATATATAAACATATGTATTAATTATATTACATTATTGCCTCTGCATTGGATTATTATGGGATAGGGTAATAACTTCATTATTAACTACATCTGAAAGCAGAAGTCTAGGGCAAATAATTGGTAGTCTCTTCAGTGAGAATGTCACAAAATGATTTTTTTTAAAAAGCCAAATTCTGGAAAAAAATTGAAAATGTAAAAAATGTGAAATGTTGAAGCAAAAATGTCAAATTCTGAACAAAATTCATATTTGAGATGCATTGTGGGAGATGTAGTTTATGGGCAACGTGCATACTAACGAACTAAGCGATTAGTTGACTGATATTTCAGCTGTGTTCTAGCAACTACTGATGGACCATAGGGACATTTGGGATGTCACAGAGATGTACTTTCTTTAAGAGCGTCCCTGAGAATACTTTGTGTGTCTGGAAGGTGATTTTAGGGGGTGCTTTGCAATAAAGTGCTGACAGACGGTGTGGTCTTTCTCAACGACACAACACTAGATGAGTTCATATCCCAAAGTATGTCCTTATGCTTTGTACACACAGCACATTTCTGAGTGTGAATGGCTCAAGGAAAAGGTCAGTGTAGCAGCAACAGAGGAACAATGTTGACGGGACATTATGTCTCACCTAGCACTGTTTTTATCACATCTATTTTCAATTTGAAAGTATTGTTTAGAAAGATACTAAATGTGTAGATATATTCCCTAAATCATATCAGTAACCTATCACAAAGCGTGTTTTTCTTTCCCCACATGTTGAAGATGTTTGTGCAACTTTAACAAATCTTTAAAAGTCTCTGATTATGATATCCCCAGGACTCTCCTGCCCTGTGCTTTGTTAGCAGACTCCTATCAGAGGTGAAGTGTACCTGGGCTCTCCACACGGGGTCGCTTGTGTTTCTGACCCGGCTCCTCCTTGGCCTCCGACTCGTCTTTCGGGCTCTCACTGTCGCTCTCATCCAGCTTCCTCTTGGGGAACATCTTCCTCGCTGAACACACCAGGGCAAACAAAGGAGAGGGGAAGACAAAGAGGATCTTAGAACAGCAAACTCTCTTCAAATGTTTAAAGTAAGGGATACTGTGCGGCGAGGCGGTCAATCTGGGGGAAAGAACACCCGCTTCGCGCCGGGCTCCTGATCTGCCCGTCGGGTGTTCTTCTCCCCAGAATGACCAAGTGGCTGCACATTATCAACAAAGTAACGACATGACTCCCAATATTAATTGAAATGCTTTTATAGATTTAGAAAATGTTTTTATTGATTTAAAAAAATATTATTTATTTAAAATGACAAGCATCCGCTAAGAAAAATAGTCCGTTGTTACCGTTTGAACTACGTAGCAGGAACGGCTTCGATAGCGTTTTTGATTACAGATTTGAAAACATCGCTGCTTGCTTTAAAGTAGCACAATTCATTATGTCAAACCTTGGGAAGTATCTAGATATCCCTAATGCCAAAGGAACTGCACACTGAATATGTGTCGCCGTTTGATATCTGTGTCTGGACCTGGTCTGGTTTCTGCCCCGTTACTTCTCCGCTGTTTCCTTGTCCCAGTTTGAAACTGTAAACTGTATACAGTTCAATCGACCGGACTTCTTTCTGCAGATGTGAGCGTCCTTAACAAAGGTCAATAAGTGCTTGACCGCGCGGTCTGTCGGTTCTGGATTAACAACGTGTCCTGAATTGACCAATCAGAATCGAGTATCCAACTAAGCCATGTAACAAAGCAAATTAAAAACCTATCGTTTTAATATAGCTTTTAATTTGGGTTAACTTTCAATTCTCACTAGTATCATTTTCCATTTTATGTATTTTATTTCTGTTTTGCTTTTATTTTAAATGTTTTATTTTAACATATTATCACAGTAGATGTTTTATCTTGTTCTGTATTCATTTGAATATTGTTGTTGTGTTTTCTGAAAGGCACTTTGGGTTGCTTTGTGTATGAAAGCTGCTATACAAATCAAGTTTATTATTATTATAATACACCGTCTACCGTGATACTGCAGATGTAGGGCACCATAAAACAAAACAAGAGAAGCACAGATACTTTGCTAACGAAAGATATTATGCAGCAAAGCAGCTTAGTGTGTCATTTCCTGTAATGTTATGCAGCAGCGTTGCTCGAGGGTCATTTTAGTTTCCGTGCCACATACGCCTTCCTTTCAGGTCCTGGTTAGTCCTGCTGCAGGTGGCGCTGCTGATGTTTTCCTTCTAGATGTTATAATGAAAGCATTAACCCAGGACATTAAGAATGCAACTCCTGGTCAAATGAAGGAGTTGCATTAATGTGGTGTTTTCCCCAGTGGAGACGGTGGCTCTCGCGCTGCGGAGAGTAAACACTGCAGTCATCAAAACACAAAGAGAATGGCAAGATGAAAAGAGAGTGAGCCGCTCTCCTGCTGCAAAAGGAGGATGGAGGAAACAAAGTGAGAAAAGGAGGAGCTTCCCAAACGGAAACAAAGCTGCAAGGCTAGACATCTGTGTCGCTTATATTCTACATTTGAATACCTAGATCCCTGATTTGATATTAAAAAGGTAAACAGAGTACAAGCCATAACTTCAAATGACTGTTTCATGTTTAAAGGGGCATTTTCAGGTTCATATTTGAGATGCATTGTGGGAGATGTAGTCTCTCTACTGTGACATGTGTCCACGCTTTGATGTCTCATACAGCCTGTGTCTCTTTTCACCCTCTGTGGGAGAGAAACTTTGAGATGTGAGCCTTTGCACACAAACCTTTATAACAAACTACATGAAAGGGAAAACTCCTATTCATAATTCACAGATAATGAGCATGCACTGCAGGAAGCGTGTGATGTTCGAGCTGCTCATGTACACGCTGCATAATAATAATAATAATAATAATAATAATAATTACTTTATACGGTATGTTCCTGCTTTTTCTTCCCTTCATGAAATCACCAGACTGCAAAGCAGAAAGGAAGCGACTACAGATCAACAATCAGCTCCAATCACTGAGAGTTGCTCTGCTGCTTCCATTAGAGCCCAGTCAGCAGGATGAAACATCACAAGGCAACGCAGCAGCAGCAATAATAATATCATCACGATGCAAACTCACGCAGAAAACTAATGGTCTGGGCTTTCTAGAGAGTGCATTCGTGGTTCAGCAGATGAGATAAATGGCAAATAGTGCAACACCACAATCTACATGTTGTCAGTGTAAAGGTGGAGACCCTGCCAAAAGGATCGGAGATAAATGAAACAAGAGGGGGGGGGGGGTGAACAAACCTCTCTTGCGTTCAGTTTGTGATAAGTGTCTTGTTTTGCCTCGTTTTGATATAATGAGTTTTGGGAGCCATTAGGCCCCTGCTAATAAGTAATCAAGTAAAAAATAGCTCGAGGCGGGAAAACGATCAATCCTCAGCTGGTGTCAAAGTTCGAAATTGCTGCAATTTTTAAGGAAAAAGTTGAGATCTGCAGATTTAGAGTAAGCCTGGAGCTCTTGGACTTAATCTTTAATAAAAATATGGAGCCCTTTCATAGACACTCTGGATCTTATGCCCGACAGATCAGATGACCGAGTCCTTTGGGTTCATATTATTCTTATTGTAAGAATATTTTTGCTCACAGCTTTTCCTTATTATTATTATTTAGAATTATTTAGTCTTTTTTTGTTGATGTGCATAATTGTGTTTCTTACCTGAGGTCAAGGCGGGGTAGGGGTGGGGGGTGGGATGTATACAATAGAAAACCGAAAGTGAACATTGTGTTTCTGTCCCTCTCTTGTTCTGTAATTGTATATTTTGTACTTTTAATGATCAATAAAATATATATATATTTAAAAAAAAAAGGAAATAAGAGATCAGATAATAGATAATATAATAGATTACATTCTGTAATAGCGCCTTTCAAGGGACCCGAAGGCGCTTTACATGGTGGACAACAAACAAACAAACAAACAAACAAACAAAAGGGGCAAATAATAAGGTTCGGCGCTCGGGGTGCCGTGGGGGCAGTAAATACGGATCCAGTTTTGCGTTTAACGAGCCAGAAGGGGAGATGGAGTGTCGGGGTGTGGGGCTCCCAGGTGAAGTGTAGAAGTATCCGGGGTCATAGGGGTCATGGCCGGGGGTCGTAGGGGTCACAGGGGTCACAGGGGTCGTTGGGGTGGAACCGGTGTCTTAGAGGTGGCCGGGGCAGGTGGAGGAGCATGGGGGTGGGAACGGGCCTTGAGACAGTTCGTATCTGAAAAAGAAAAGCGCAGCGGCTTGGACTGGTAAACATTGTGAGAAGAGGTAGTGTGTGGCGGCTATATTCCCATTGAATGCAGGGCCGGCTAAACTTCGCTCATTGTTGTGGACGCGTATAAGATAATAAAAGTCTGTCCTGAACTCGACGTTTTAAGGATATTTAATATTGGAATCAAAACTTAAACAAACAGAATCATACGGTCAACAAAAAAGATATCGGAGCTAAAGCCTCACCCTCATGCACCAAAACCTCCACACACGGATGCCACTTAAATAACCTACAACAAACCTGTGACCATCCGGAACACAAACCAGGCTACATGTCATTTTGGCTCCTACAGAGTTTTTCCGCCCAGACCAGGCCTGAGAGGGCATAAACCCACAAGAGCGGGGGGGGGGGGTGACGTCACGTTGTGTCACGTTAGGGTTGCCAGAAACTGACCATGATCAAAATCGATTATTCGGCAGCCCTGGCGAATCCATAATCGATTATTCGACCGCCCCCCCCCGCAGGAGAGAAAAAAAAAATACTCAACACAAAGGAATTCCGTTTGTTTCTATCTGGAACAGTTTTTAACAGTACAAACAAAATACAACTGAAAATAAACCAACATCACATGATGCAGCTCGCCTTGAACTCTTTTTCACCTGCCGCTTTGTTCATCTTTATCGCAGTGTGGAGGGAGAGGGGGGTGGGGGCGGGGGGGTCGGTGTGGTAGCGTGCTGCAGCAGCAGTCTGCTTGCAACGCAGGCTTCCTCCAAGTTCTACAGTAAAAACAAACTGGTGGCTGCTGACCAATGGCCGCATTTTACATTATTAATACTTTACTATTATTGCATTAGTCCCTATATTTGGTTGAAACTAGCCAGAAGGAAACAAAAAAAAACAGCTAAATAAATACAAAAAAAATATTCTATAAATAAAATCGCGATTTTTAAAAAT